TATATATATATATATAATTGAAGAAAAATAAATAAATAAATAAGTAAAAGCGGTAAAGGTAAGAACTACGAGTGAGTAAAAGGAGTACAGGAGTACGCGGTACGTGGTGCATGAGAATAGAAAATTTCAAATAAAAAAAACACATATAAACACGAACAAAAAAAAAGAAAAAAGAACAGATGTAAGAATAGAAAATGAGAAGATTCGAAAAATAATAATAATAATAAATAATAGGAGAGAGATAGATATAGATGGAATAGATAGATAGATAAAGAGAAAGTGTACAAACAAAGAAAAAAAAAAAAGTATCCATCTCTTTATATAAGGATCATCACTATCATTACATCTCTCTCCCATTTATATATATATATATATATATATATATATATATATATATATATATATATATATATATATATATATATATATATATATATATATATGCTTTTTTCTCTACAAACAAGCAAACATACACCTACAATGGGATGCATATATAGGAGCGTGTAGACATCATTAAAAAAAGAGAAAAAAAAAGAAGAAAACATCAAAAGAGAGAAAGAAAGAAAGAAGAAAAAAACAGTCTCTCCTACAGTCTTTCTTTTTTTATGTGTTCATTTTATTTTCTTCTTTTTTTTCAATTTGATGTCTGTAATTTGTTTTTGTTTTTTTGCTAACCATTTATGTTTTTGTTTTTTTCCTTCTTTCTCTCATTCCTCACTATATTTGCTTTATCTTAACACCTTCTCTCTATTTCTGCCCTTCATTAATCAATTACACCACTTTCGGTCAAACCACTCAGACCCATAATAAAGTGTGTCTCGCATATATCTAATAATAATAACAATAATAATAATAATACTAATAATAATAAATAACAACGAAGAAGAAAAAAAAATCATTGTCTCGTAATTATTAGAAAAAGTTGCCTATTTCTACAGGAAATCCCCTCAGTCAATACATAGACACATACATATATATATATATACATACATACGTATAAACACGAAAAAAAAAAAAACATACACAAGACATTAGGACAGAAATATTTTTACTTTGTATATATATATATATATATATAATATAATAAATAAAAAAAAAAGAAAAAGAAAAGCGCACAGAGAGACATTCTATTTGTCTCCTTTTTTACTTCTTTCTTTTTCTTTACAGGATGTGCTAATGGGTTTAAAGGAATCACAAAAAAACAGGTGGCTTATTAACCCTAATTATCATCATCATTATCACCTCTCAATGACTTTTCTTTGCTTTATTTTTTTTTTTTATTCTTCTTTTCTTTGTTTCTTTTTTTTTTTGTTTTTGAGTTCTTTTTTTTTCTCTTTTACTTCAATTGTTTTTACTGTCCGAAACTATTGTCTATGTATGTTCGTATGGTATGTATATAAATGTGTTTACGCTTCTGACAGAAAAGAAATCCCCAGGTGATCACAGGAGAAATCCGGAGTCATGTCTACTGTTATTCTTTTCTCTCCCCTTTTTTCTCACCCTTATTTATTATTACTACTACTTCTTCTTCTTCTTTCTTTGGTACTTCCTATCTCTCCTCAACTCTCTTTCTATTCATCCATTCATTCATTCATCTATTTATTCTCTCTCTCACTCACTCACTCACTCACTCAGTCCGTCACTCCTTTTGAGATCATTCTTGTCATGCCTGCGGCAATAGACATATCTGTTGTGAGTTCATCATCCTTGAAAAAAATCACTCACCCCAAATTCTCCGTGCGTAATGGTGTAAACAATAACAATAAATAAGAATAACCATAATAATAATCAAAATAATAAATAGGTGAAATGAAGACAAAGACAAATAATAATAATAATAATAAAAAAACACAAAAGCAGAAGCTTATCCCCAAGAAACCACACACACACACAGACATATATATATATATATTATTGCTGACCAGTGACCTCTGCGAGCCAAGTGTGTCCGAGGAGACAACGGGCGGATGGACGCCTGGTGGGATCGTATGATTCTAAACAATTCATAATAAACCCACCCGCCTCTCTGGCCTCTGCGGGGGGCAAATAAAGCTCCAATTCACGTTCTAAATGACGTCTTGGGTAAAGGCGATATCTATCTGCATAGATAAAACGACCATTTTCATCAAAATAACGATGAATATATCGTGGTGGTGGTCTATGTGGATCTCGTTTAGTACGAAGTTTAATAATTTCATCGGGTACAGGACCAAGAATTTGCATCATCATTGCCAAATGCTCCACATCCATCATACGTTCATTTTTCGTACGACGTTTGGGATCCATAAGAAAATCGCCCGTAATAAGTTCATATACCATACAGCCCACACTCCAAATATCTGTACGTGTATTAAAATCAAGTCCGATAATAATTTCAGGTGCACGATACTCACGAGTTTGAATCATCGTCCCACGTAAATTGGTTACAGTACCTGATTTCTCTACTGGAAATTCTTTTTTACTTCCAATTAAACTTTTTAAAAGTATTTCTTCATTTGCATCTTGTAATGAATTTGTAGCTATAGTAGCTGGTGGTTTTAATGCGGCAGAGAGACCAAAGTCTGCAAGACGCACGAGATGATTTGGATCACCCTGGGACATGGATTCATGTATTTTCTCATATGGTACCATAGTAGAGCGTTCTTTATTACGACGACAAAAGGTTTCAATGACATGAAATACCTTTGGATCTGGTGAAGAGCAAAGAACATTTTCTGGTTTAATATCGGTGTGAATGATATCAAGTCTATCAAGTTCATTAAGCCCTATTAACATGGAGGCAACAATTTCCTTAATAAGACGAATCTCAGATGAACTGCGCATACATTTTTTTGCTTTCATTTGATCAATAATACTGAGGAGATTAGATCCATGAAGTGGCATTACCATACAAACATGAGATCCATATTCACCTTTAACTTCAAAACAATCCACAAGATTTGTAAGAGGTGTACCAGCTTCTGATTTGGCTCCAATGTAACGAAGTAAATTAATTTCATATTGAGTACTTTGTGATACGGTATTATCACATTTTGCAATCTTTAAAGCAACAAAGGCCTGATGTGGTTTGCCTAATGTTGTATGTAATGTATCATATGCTAACCATACTGTACTGAATTCACCCCAACCAAGTTTTTGTACAACCACATAACGTGAATTTAATTTTTTACCTGGGGTAACTGACATATATCCTCCTTCATAGTATGCACTTTTGTTTTCTTCATAATGATTACGCCATCTCTGAACAAATTGCTGCATAATTGAACGTGAAGAAACAAAAGAAAACTTTGGTTCCATCAATATTGGAGTTTTTGTAATCACATTATTATTTATAACATTTGAGGTATCAGTACTGGTTCGACTGCAATCACTGCTTTGTATAGGTGTTACTCCCGCTGTGGCTGTCTCTGAGGTGGCTGCAGTTGCGGCTGCGGCTGCGGCTGCGGCTGTTGTTGTTGTTACTGATACTGTTACTGATGCTGCTGTTACTGCGGCTGCTGCGGCTGTTACTGATGCTGCTACTGCATTTGATTGGGGTGCTGCTTCCACAGCCTCTTCCGCCCTAACACGACGCTGTGGAACTATGGTATGCATTGTTGAATACATATTGGGTACTGTACCTATATTTGGCATTCTTCGTCGAGGATTAACACAAAGGCTCTCATGAATAGGAAATTCACGATTAAGAGTACCATTCAAGTCAATTCGATCTGTATTACTAATCCCACTGTTTTCTAATGAAGATGAATTATTTCTTACAGGATTATAGTATTCTGGTGTTTGTTGACGGCGTACTACAGGAGTTATAACTTTTTGAACAAACTGTTTAGGAAAAGTTTCGGAAGTAACCTTTGTACGTGCTGGAGAATCTTCCACTCGTGTTAACTCTCTTACTGGCCTATGAGTTAATTTAGTTGTTCGAGTATTTGTACAATCCTGTTGAGTGGCCTTTAAATTATATGAAGTTCCATCATCCGTATTTGATAAATCATTACTGCTTGTAACAAGGGAATCATCATCCCTTCGATTACCCTTTATCTTCTGTCCTGAAACTTGTACACGAAAACTGTACTGTTGCACATACGGTTGTGGTTGTGGTTGTCCTTGTTGTTGTGGTGGAAGTGATAATTGTTGTGATTGTACTTGTTTTTGTTCCTGTTGTTCCTGTTGCGAAAAGCGAAACGGTGCTTGTCGTGCTGACAATGGCCTGGAGGCTGTGTTTACATCCAGCAATGGGGACTGTGTCAACGGGGTGGCGGATTGCCGAGCTGGCGATCCCAATCCACTACTGCGGCCCAATGTAGAAGAGAGTGCCCGTCCACTGCGTGATCCCATCCGCTGACTTCCCCCCTGCACGGTGGCGGAGAAGTAATCCGTTGGGGTGAGTTGATAGCGCCGCTGAGCGATAACCCCGCAGCGGGGCGACATGGACCCCACACCCCCGTTGGCGTTGCTGGCGGGTCGATCTTGACTCGTGCGGGCCCCGCGGGCGGCGACGATCGGGGAAGAGCGGCGGGGGGTGAAGTCCTCCCGGCGGACGTAAATGGCGGGGCTGCGGTACGGCAGTGGACTCATGGGCGACATCACCCCCCGCTGCGGCTCGGCGGAGTCAATATACCACGAGCTCAGCGGACTGTGGATGGAGGTGTTCACGGAGAGACGACAGTTGGGGTGGCGCAGGGGGGAACCGTATGGTTCGGCACCTGCTGTAGCCATCTTTCTTCGGTTTGGTTTGGCCTTTTTTTTTTGTTACTTCTTTTTTTTTTTTTATTGGTTTCTTTGTTTATTTGTTTGTTTGTTTGTTTTTATTTCTTTCTTTCTTTTTCTCGTCTTTTCTTCGCACTTCCTTTCCGTTCTTTTTTTTTTCTTTTTCTTTTTTTGCTTTCTTTCCTTCACACTTGGTCCTCAGAAAGTAATATATAAATATATATATATTACTTGATTCACAAAAAGCAAGACTATATCCCCTTCGTTTTCTTTTTTTCTTCTTGTCTTGGGGGGTTCCTCACCACACAAAGACACACAAGAAGTGCACGCAAGAGCCCAGTGCGTCCGGATAAAGAAAAAAAAAAAAACCTTTTTTTTTTTTCTTCCCGTTTAAAACTCTAGACTATTTCCACCACCCTTTTGTTTATTTTTGTATTTTTTTTTCTTACTTTTTCCTTTTCCTTCCTATACACGCAAAGGAACGCGTACGGCGATAATATCACGTGACTGAAGAAGGAGAAAAAAAAGAGAAAATGCAACAACCACCCCCACACCAAAATAAAAGAATTGAATAAACGTGTGGTTTTTGTGAGTTAATGTCGCTATTGATGTTGCTATCTCACTCTTTCTTTCCTTCTTTATTAATTTTTTTTTTCCTCTGTGGTTTCCTTCCTCACCTCTTTTTTATTTTTTTTTTTTACTTGAACCTCTTTCCCAATGTGTTCACCAAATTCACGAGAAAAACAAATGAATTCGTGAAAAAGAAAAATAAATAACCTAGATGTGGGAAAGCAAAAAATAAAAGAACCACTATTTGTTCCTACGTTCACGTTTTGCGTTCTACAATAACAAAAGAAAAACAAAACAAAGGAGAAAAAAAAAGATAAGAGAATGTGGAGAGATAACAAAAACAACATCAGCTTAGAAATGAACATCCATACCTCTCTCTCTCTCTCT